TGGGCTACCATATTAGGCCTAGTTATGAGGACTTATATGTTGTAGGTCAGCTGATACTGCTAACAAAATCCTGCATTGTCACAACTTAAAACTTATTTTGGTAACATTCAAACCCAAAATAGTTAAGGACAATAATATGAATCTTTTGCCCATTCAAAAATACAGTCTAGGAGCTGAACGTGCAGCTGAAGGAGCATAATTCCAACTATTTTTATGTTGATCGTCAACCTATGAGAGGCTTCTATGTTATTCAAACTTGGGGCCGACAATATAAATCTCACACAGATGGAAGGATTTTGGTAACAGTAATACATTAATGTAGTAAACAGTTGAACAATTCATGCCGTCAAAGGCAAGATAGCATCAACGATGGCATGCCAAGAGATAAAACAAAGAAGTAAAAAAATATATTAAAATTTACACATGGATCAAGTATTTCAAATTAGTAGGAGCCGATCAGATTTTGTTGCTTGCCAGAGGGTTACAACTCCAATTGACCCTATTAATATAAGTTATCACTACTAATGAGAATTTCACAAGTAATGACTATGAAACAAACATATAATGACAGAGTCATTTGGGCTTACTTGTTGTTTCTTCTACATCATGATAATACAAAAATACAAATAATTTGACCCAGCAGGCTAAAGGGAAGGAGAAACGTGCAAAGGTAGATAACCTACTTATATTACAATTTACAACTTAAAACTGGAAGATGGCAATAAATTCTACATATGGCAAAAGAAATTAAATAATCAGTCAAGAATGAAGATGGCTATGAATCAGCAAAATATTGAAAACCAGTAGGTGGTACTAATTAGGAAGAAGTTGTTCATATTGGTAAGCTATCTGGAAATGATTCATTTTGGATTCAAAATCAAGGACATTTGTCCTACGAAGATTCTCTAGAGGATATTCTCACAAATATGGTATATATAAACAAATAATACTCCCAAGCATTTTGAGGTTCTTAGGCCTTAGAGGATGCTGGACTGATCACCAGCTGCTATTGCTACCTTCCTGTCATGAGATGGACAAGCCCTTGGTTTTCATAAAAGGAGCCAATATCCCAATCCTCAGTTGAGGATGATATAGTCATTAAAGCTACAACTATGGACCTCATGCTAGGTCTCAACTGCGGATTTTCATGTGTGCAAGCCTTGCCAAGCTGAGCAACCTGCAAACGAAACAACCAACTAATTTACATAGGCGAAAACGCTTAATTTTATTACAAGAATAACAATGAACTTTACCTTGCAGACTGAATCTAGCGGATAGTCATCTAGTTTGGGATCAACCACTTTGCTTAACCCGTCTCTAGCACCATTCTGATTAAGAACATCCTCAAACTGCAAAATATCATTATTGTTAGAAATAGAACAAAATTCTCTGAGTGGTTTAGAGGCTGGAATTTATAGGTAAGACAACGAGGTGACAAGGCATACCAAAGCAACAAGCCCCTTTGATTCAGTTATAACTTCATTCGTCTTGACAATAGCTTCTTTGGCAGATATTAGTTCATAAAGCACTACTCCAAAAGCATAGACATCAACTTTCGGGGAAACATCACCATACTGAGCATACCTGTATGCAAGGCCCATTTAAACAAGATTAACTACAAATAAAATAAATAGGAAAATACAATGCACAAACCAATCATCAAAATTCCTATTGACAACTATGCTGGGCGAACGACAGTGCTTAATATCAATATTTTACAGGTGATGGAATCCAGCAACATAAGATGAAATAAGTTTTTCTTCCTTACTGTTCGTATCCAAACCTTTAAATTCGTTGAACCTCACTGCTTCTTTATGGTCACAGAGAAGAATTTATCTCTGGTGGTATTATTTAAGATTAGCATCCATGTCTTAACTCTATTAGCATTTAGCAGAAACATCTTGAAAGATATAGTCTTTCCCAAAAGCAAATTTGAATCGGGAATATAATGCAAATGCATTTACAGGTTTTGCAAGAAAGGACTAGCAACTCCTTCAACTTCACTATTCTGCCGTTGATCCAGACCTATGACACAGTACATTTAACTAAGATACTCAACTTTCATGCCTTCTCTAGAATAATGTATGTCCTGAATCTATCCGGATTAACAGCTACATAGAATGACCTGCCAGATGTGAGCAAAAGAGAGGAAAAGGAAAAGACTACCAAGTTTTTTCTGCATTTACTTGCTACTGGGGTGGTTCTGAATTTCAGTGTTGAAACAAATAGATACCTTAGCAGACAGAAGCATTACTGCCAGATATCATCATAGAATATAAAAACTGAAAAAAATACTGGTATAAGATGCCAGCTGGAATTAGATGCTTACTCTGGAGGCATGTAACCAAAAGTACCCACAAGCCGAGTATGCAAAGAGGTACTTCCAAATTCAGTTAGCTTTGTAAGTCCAAAGTCGGCTACCTACATAAGAAAAGATCTTTCGATGCATTTATATGACAAGGCTTTGATCTTTAATTTGAAAATCACAATTTTCACAACCTTCGCACGGAAGTCTTTGTCAATCAGAATATTAGCAGATTTAATATCACGGTGGATATATAAAGGAACAGTATGCTCATGGATATATTCGAGTCCTCTAGCTGTATCAAGAGCAATTTGCACCCTGGTAGACCATGACAATGGATTCCGGCCTGGAAGTCAAAGATCGAGATGGATTTACAAGTGAGAAAAATGCAGCAAAGTGATTATATTACATGGTTTACACAGCATAACAGAATTTCACTTACCCGATCCGCGCAAGTGTTCGCCAAGGTTTCCATTTTCAATGTATTCGTAAACTAAGAATAAAGACCCTTCAACACAATATCCAATTAAGCGTACCTACAATAGGTTTTAAAAATAAATGTCATCTCATGGTCTCAATCAGAACAAGTATCTTTTGCCCTTTAAAATTGACAGAGAAAGTTCTGTATCTTGCTCACTTTTCAAGGGAATGACCAAGGGGTTGTTGAATAAAGGCACGCATGAAATAAATGAACTATATTCTGATCATTGCACAGAAGATATAACGTGATGCAGGCTCCCAAAGAGGCTCTGTGGTGATTATCATATGTAAATTTCATTATTTTTATATTTCTTAAACATGGATAGAAAGAATAAATCCAAGCATAGTTAATTCGACATATGGACCAAAGTCCTAAGTCACTGGGACAACACCATATTCTAATAGCTTGATGGCACAGAGCCACGTCACATGGCATTTCTGCATTTTGATTAGTAGAGAATGTGGCATATGAGCTGAATTTGAATGTTGATTACAGAAAATTTTCGATCTCAAAGGAAGTAGAAGCATGTTTGAACTTCGAACCTTGAACCAGCTGCCCGGCTATCTTTACAGGAAACACAAGCACAAAAACAAGAATACCTATACAAGGAACGTCGATACTTTCAATCATTATAAGAAGAATAAACTTACCAAGTTCAAGTGATGAACATGCGTTAAGACTTTCAACTCGGCGAAGAATTCTTTCGATGCTTGCATATCCATTTTCTTAATTGCTGCTCTCTGCATTCAAGTCAGAAGAAGGCCTAAGCTAAAGAAATGGGAAAAGGCAAAGGATACATTTTTTTTCTGATTTAAACGTGTATTACGAATTCATTGAACTATGTTTCATTCAGTGCATACATCTAAGGACTAGAGTATCAGCCTCCATGACCTCTTTAGATATGATGCTCTGGCTATATAAAGAACAACCACATTTTGAACTCATGTAACTTTGCATGTAAACTTCGGATGATCTAGTAGTCATGGATTTATCTTCTTCACTCATAACTCAAGATCTTTAAGCTACAGTGTTCTCCATGCTCACTACTGATTAGTAATAGTTACTATGCTCTTTTCTGTTAGCCCTGTACCGGTATTGTGAATGAGAAGACATTGACAAATTAAAGTAGCTACCGACAAGTAGTACGAGTATTTAAGTGTGTGTGTGAAATACTATGACAAGAATCTCCACAAACCTTGCCTTTTAACATTCCATAAAAGACTAATCCAAAGCCGCCTTGACCAATCTTATTTTCCATGCTGAAGTTATTTGTAGCCTTAGCAAGTTCCTCATATGAAAATTCCACCGATTTATCCACTGTGATCCCTGTCGGCCTTGGAGAAATAACACCAAATAAAAGACCTGATTCTGTAATTTTCTCCAATTTTGGAGGACCTGATGCATAAAGGATTTCATTAAACCATTCTGATTACTTGGTTTTGAAGACAGTGCTTCATCAATTGTTAATATTATTGATTTGGCAGGTAAATTTGGCTTAACTATAGACGTTTTCAACAAAATATGTATAAGGCTTTCTCACAGTGAACATGATGATTATTCATGGGAAAAGCAAGAGAATCAACAAACATAAACAGCAGAAACTCGCGCTGCATCACTAGTTAAGGATATTTTGTCCACATCTATCTACTTTAAGAAGCAACTACTATCCTTTTTATTGGGGAAAAGATACATTACAATAAAAAAAATTACTTACGTAAGTGCTCATTAAAGTGTTCATCAGATGATCCTTGGAGAAATGATTCCTCCTCTATTTGCTTACTCCTATAAAACACAAAATAAAGGCAAACTGCAAAGATAGTAGCCCCAAAAATAGCTGCCACTATTATACCAGCAATGGCTCCAAGTGAGATTCCTGGCAAAACGGCATCATTTAGCAAGCCATATAGTAATACCAAAATATATGATCATACTTCATGTTTGAACTCATAAGTTGAAATATATCTCATCACAGCAGTACGCGAAGTAGAGTCAACCTTTTGAACTGCAAAACAAAGCAGAGAGAATATTTTCAGATGACTATCTCAGACAAAACAAAACACTAAGTAGATCTCTAGAGCTTATCAAGTTTGGATAAAACCTTGTCTTCAATGATGGAAATTTTCCATATGCATCTGCAATGAGTGTAAAGGAAAAAAAAAGATTACTAGGTCAGC